ACATGTCAATCCTAGTTCCCTCACCCTCCGGTCCTCCTCTGCGCCCCCCCCCCCAAGACCATCCATCCCCTTTCTGCTCCTCACAGAGGGTGAGGCCTTCCATGGAGAGTTTTGAAACTCTGTCATATCATTTGGAGCAAGACCTAGGCCCTCCCCTGTGTGTCTAGGTTGAGAGGGCTCCCTAAGTTTATTTGTACAATAGGGATAAATACTGATCCATTAGCAGAGGCCCCATAGACTGCCCAGTCCTCCTAACACCCACATTCAGAGGGTCTGGGTCGGTCCTATACTGGTTTCCTAGCTATCAGACTAGGGTCCATGAGCTTCCCCTTATTGAGGTTAGCTGTTTCTGTGGATTTCTTCAGCTTAGTCTTGACCCCTCTGTTCATTACTCCTTCTTCTCTGCAACTGGATTCCAGGAGTTCAGCAGCTCAGCTCAGTTTAGCTGTCGGTGTCTGCTTCTGCTTCCATCAGCTACTATATGAAGGCTCTAAGATGGCATGTAAGGTAGTCATCAATTATCTGTGAAGGGCATTTAATGTAGGGCACTATTGCTTAGATTGTTAGTTGGGTTCATCCTTATAGATCTCTGGACATATTCATAGTGCCAGATTTCTCTTTAAACCTATAATAGCTCCCTCTATTATGGTATCTCTTTTCTTGCTCTCCTCTATCTTTCCCTGACTCAATCTTCCTGCTCCCTCATGCCCTCCTCTTCCCTCCTCTTCATCCTAACTCCCTCTCCCCTCTCCACATGCTCCCAATTTGCTCAGGAGATCTTTTTCCTTTGACCTTCTCCAGGGTCCATGTATGTCTCTTTTAGGGTCCTCATTGTTTCCTAGCTTTTCTGGCAGTGTGGATTGTAGGCTGGCAATCTTTTTTTTTCTATATCTAAAATCCATATATGAGTGAGTACATACTGTGTTTGTCTTTTTGTGACTGAGTTACCTCACTCTGGATGGTTTCTTCCAGTTCCATCCATTTGCCTTCAAATTTCAAGATTTTGTTTCTGTTTTCTGCTGAGTAGTTCTCCATTGTACAAATGTACCACCTTTTTCTCTATTCATTCTTAACTTGAGGGGAATTTAGGTTGCTTCCAGGTTCTGGCTATTACAAATAATGCTGCTATGAACATAGTTGAACAGATGTCCTTGCTGCATGAATGTGCATCTTTTGGGTATATGCTGAATAGTTGAATTGCTGGATCTTGAGGTAGACTGATTCCCATTTTCCTGAGGAACTGCCATACTGATTTCCAAAGTGGCTGTATGAATTTTCACTCCCACTAGCAATGAAGGAGTGTGCCCATTTCTCCATGTCATCCTATCTAGCATGAAGTGTCTTTAGTGTTTTTGATTTTAACCATTCTGACAGAACTAAGATGCTATTAAAAGCAACATGGGGATGGTTTTGTGCACAGTATAGTCAAGATATTGTCAGTTCAAAATACAATAATGCTTCTAAAGGTAAAATTGGACATTGTAATTTTTTTTGCCCATTTCAATTGGGCATTTTAATATTTAATTTGGGGGGCTGGAGAGATGACAACTTAGCTAAGAGAAGCAGCTAAGAACATCAGTTTCTTTTTCCAGAGGAAAGGGATTCCATTTCCAGCATCCACACAGCAGCTCACACCACCCTGCAACTCTAGTCACAAAGCATACATTACCCTCTTCTGTTCTCCAGGAGTGCAGCATGCATATGTTGCACCAACATACTAGTAAAATGCCCATACACATCAATTTAAGTATTCTTATAAGCTACACAGAGGTTCACTCTGAAAGTTGGAGCATCAAAATACATGAACAAGAATTCATTCAGTATATATATATATATATATATGTATATATATACATATATATATAAATATATATATTATGCACACGACTAAACCATACTCAGAAATATTATCTTGCTAATTATAAAATTAGTTAATTCTTCAGGGTTAACTATCAATTGTGTTTTATTCTGTGATATCTCCATTCCAATGTATTCAAGTCTGTAATTTACAAATGGGTCTTATGGATCAGATATTCAACCAGTTTCACTGAGTCAGGTAGAGGCAGAAAACATCTTATAACTGAAGTCTCAATCTCCAACTAAATTTGCCATCTTATTCCATTTGGATTTATAACTCAATCACTGCTCACTGATTCTAACGTTCTGTGTAAATAAGCAAGGAAAATATAAAATACCATCTCTTCCCTCAGACAGTCCGGGGCTAATAATTACAGTGCCATAAAATGAAGGCAGTCATTAATACTGCATGTTCATCGCCTGCCAGTTGTGTAACTTTGGGCTCTACTTTATCCCACTGGGAATGGCACCTGCCCAGCTGGATGTGATGATGATTAAGGAAGACCATAATGCAATTAAATGGTCATCACAGCTGGCCACAGCTGGACAGTATATCCCAGGCATCTGCTCTTTTGCCTTGAGTTGAAGAAGCACTTGCTAGCTTTGAGGTCTACAAATCAGCTAAAGCATGTGAGAAAAAAGTTTAAAATAGAGTACATCAGTCAAGTAAAATGGCAGACAGTATTACAGGCTATTATTCCACAGCCACTTTAGCCTCCGTTTATTTGACAGATTGGCACCTTGTAAATATGTCAGTTGTTGTAATTGGGCTGCCACAACCACAACTTGACTTCACATTGAAACCTGCTGTAGGGAACCGGTCTGTGTTCTGTTTTCTTGTGTATGTACATGTATCAGACAGGACTCATCAACTCTTGTGGGCTTTTGTGTAGTCCTATAGAATTGTCCCATTCCTACAACTCAACTGGTTTTCTATATGTCCTCAGGAAATAATATTTATTTCTTTATTTACCAATTTGTTTGACATATTTAAACATAAACTTATTATAAGGAATATATATGACCTCATTTCATTATACATTATGTAACATTTAAGACACGTTACATATATACCTGTTTTCTCAATCACCTACCATTGCTACATTGTGGAAACATGCAGAAATCTTTCTCCTAGTTTTTTGAGCTGTGTAGATTATGACGCTACTGTACCATAGTTCCCCAAAGACACTTAATTTAGTGTCTTGCTTTTTTCTTCCTTCCCTCTTCTCTTGGCAACCACTGGTAATCACTGTTCTACTCTCTGCTTCTGGGAGATAAACATTTTTATATTACATATATGATTCTGATCAAGTAACACTCATTTTCCTCTTCCTGGTTTCCTTCAATTATAGTCAATTTTGGACAAGACCCCAAGGCACAGGAAACAAAATATAAAGTAGGCTAATGGGTTTTCATCTAGCTACAATGCATCTGCTCAGTAAAGAAAACAATAGTAAAGAGGAATCCAGAGAATAACGGAGAGCATCCCCTAACACAATGTACGAAGGGGTATCGATATGCAGAATATGTAAGAAGTTAAAATGCTCCAATAGTGAAACAGAGGCACACACAGTAACAGTACAGATTTTAAGACTATTTCTATCAGACACAAACACACAGTGCATGAAAGCACACATGCACATGCAGATGTCCATACTAGTAATGCAATTAAGAATGAGCCATAGACCTGCAGAGTTTTCTCTCCAAAGGAGACATGTAGGTAAGTACTGTGACTTAATGACCCTTCTCTAAGCTGGGTAACAAGCTCTCTTTTCTTGCAGTAGGGAACATCACCTTGTGTTCAGCCAGGTTCTCTTGAATTCCTGGCCAAAAAAAAAAAAAAAAAAAACACAGTGAATCTGCTTCCTTTTTCCACACTAGTCAAATTTTCCCACCATTTAACAAAGCAACATACACCCATGGTGATTGCTAAGTCCGTTGGTGTTTATATTTCATGAAAAAAAAAGCTGACCTAACTTAATTCTCATTTTCTGAAAAAGAACCATCTGCCAAAGAGATAAGCAGAAGTGACCTAGGGCCCAAGACAAACATTTAATGATGGCCACTGAGAAAGGAAGGAAGGAGCTGAGGCCTTTGGATGGCAGATGCTTAGGTGATGGGTGGGTAAGAAGAATAGGGAAGAAATGCGCTGTGCGATGCAGAGGCAACAACAATACAGAGGGCAAGTGGAAGTACAAAGCAGATGAATTTTTTCTTTTACTTTTGCTTTTTACATTTTATTTTATTATTCATCTTACATACCAACCACAGCTCCCCCTCCCTCTCCCCATCCCTCTTCCCCTCAGCTCCCCCCAAGCTACACCCATCCACTCCTCAGAAAGGGTAAGGCCTCCCATGGGGAGTCAGCAAAGCCTGGCATAATCAGTTGAAGCAGGACCAATCCCACCCCTCCCCCGCCCCACCCCTACTTCCACCCCCATCAAGGGTGAGTTAGGCATCCCACCATAGAGAATGGGCTTCAAAAAGTCAGCTCATGCACTAGGGGATAGATCCTGGTCCCACTGCAACAAAACTGTTGCCCATATGCAGAGGGCCTGGTTTGCTCCCTGTGAGTCCATGGGCTCCCACACAGCCAGGTTAAGTGTCTGTGTGGGTTTCCCCATGGTGATCTTCACTCCCCTTGTTCTTTTTTGTTTGTTTTTCAAGACAAGGTTTCTCTGTATTGCTTTGGAGCCTGTTCTGGAACTCCCTCTGTAGACCAGGCTGGCCTCGAACTTACAGAGATCCACCTGCCTCTGTCTCCCAAGTGCTGGGTCTAAAGGCATGTATCACCAACACCTGGCTTGAACCCACTTGTTCTTATAATCTTGCCTCCCTCTCATTGACTGGTCTCTCACAGCTGGGCCTGATGCTTGGATGTGGATCTGTGCATGTGCTTCCATTAATTACGGAATAAAGGCTCTATGATGACAGCTAAGGTAGTCTCCAATTATGGGGAAGGTGAGTTTAGGCATCCTCTCTGCTGTTACTAGGGGTCTAAAACTCGGGTCCTCCTTCTGGATTCCTGTGAATTTTCCTAGCATCTGATTTCTCCCTAGGTCTGTAATGGCTTCCCTTATCCATCTCTTTCCTTGCTATCCCACCCCACCCCTCCCCCAACTTGACCCATCCCATTCCCTTATGTTCTCATTGTCAGCACATGTATTAAAATTTAAATGATGCATAAAGATTAGAATGGCCCCTGCACAAGGATGACACACAAATTCATGAAGCAAACACATTTTTACCTATCTTGGAATATAATCACTAGATTTAAGCATAGTAAAGATCATTAAAGGAAGACTGCATGGTAAAGAATACATGTACAACTATAACTAACTAACTATATATATTTACAATTTTAGGGTTTGAATCAATAGTAAGTCTGAACAATCATCAACTAGAACACCAACTGCATAGCCATTTGAAGACTTTTAGGTAAAGTGCATATTTGGGAAAGATAGACTAATTACCAAACCTAAGAAAATGAAGTTCTTAGAAATGGTTGTTGTTTATCAAAAGACTTTTTTTAAGACTTCGGGGAAATGTCTTATTTCAGAAAAGACTAATGCATATGAAAATTATTATTTTAAAAACTGAGTAGAATTCTTAGTAGCGATGAAGAGTTCATTGCTTCTATGAAAGTCGAGAACATGGTTATTAAATGCTCAAAATCAGGGAGGATTGTATAAACTTCAAATCCAGATGAACAACTACTAATTCTAAAGAAGTGCAACAAAAGAGAATATTACATGATAACTCCTTCAGAAACTTTGCCAAAACAGGAAGTCAAAACTTCAATTTCCTCTGTTAGTATAAGCATAACAAACAGTAAAGGACAAAATATGCTTTGAGAAAGAATGTGAACTTGTTAATTAAAGAGAGAATCTGACCTGGAGCAAAAAGGGGTCATTGATATCCCATACAAGAAAACCTTATGGAGATTTTGATAAAGTAACAGGTACCAGACTATCTTTCCTGAATTAAATAACCATAAAAATGGGGAATGGGATACATAATATGCAAATGCATAGACAAAAGAACTCTGGAATTAAGTTTGGAGAGCCAGAAGACCAAAGAAGTGATTACAAGCATGAGAAGGTGTCTCATACATTACTCACCAGGCCAGAGTCCAGAAGGAGGATCAGATTCCTTTGAACTCAGCAAAACGAGGTCAGAGTATAACACAGGCCCAGGTATTTGCAGTTTGCAAAGAAGAGGTTTAAAGACAGAAGCATTGTTCAAGAAACCAAAGCCTGTATTTGACCCCTTTGAGGCTTTGCCTGCAGTCTTTGAAAGATGTGTTGGGTGAGAACAGGTGCATTTGTTTAAAGAGCAACTGCAAAGCTGAGAACAGAATAGAGTCAGCAAAGCTGATTGGGACATGAGAAGACTCTGAGTCATGGGGAATTTTTATCCTTCTCTAACATAAGAAAAATACACCTCCAAGTCAGATTTCCTGTGGATAGGTTCTACAAAGATAAAATTGATCTCTGAGAAGATCCACAGAGAGATGGAAAAAGGAAACACTCTTTGCTTCCAAAGACCTTGCCCAATAAATGCTGAAGTGAGGCTCTTACAAGGTCAAGGTTCCAGTTCCATTAGTAAACTGCCCACTAAGGCAAGTATCAAACTCATGAGGCAGAAGACAACAAATAATGAATTGTAAGTGTATTAACAAAAAGTCCAACATACAACCAGTATGACATTCTAGGAGAGACCTAGGTGAAATTATGTACCAGCAAATAACAGGAGAAATCAAGCGTGAGCTATTTAGAGAACAGACCTATTCAAGTTAGAGATTTAGTCTGAAAAATTAAAAGGGTCTGTGCTTGTGTCATTTTCTGGGAAACTGCAACAAATCAACATGTTATGGCCTCTAAATTTCCATGGATTAATAATTTTTCACAGCTTAACTTGTTGTTTTTCTTTATGAGAGTACCATACAAAATTATAAACTATTAGGGGGGAAGAGTATCTTTCCTGAAGCCTAAAATGGCAAAAGCTTGATCTCCAAGCTATAATTTTTTTCATAGCATTATTTTCCATGTGAGTTTCTCTTACTAAAACCCTTGGCTTCTTGGAGGTACTGGTTCAAGACCAACCTTACTTCCTTGCCTAAATCACACTTACAACTTGACAGCCAGATGTTGATTCTCTGCCAGCAGATTGCAAATCATAATCTTTTGTAAATTAATCTCAGAAATGATGGCTGATATCTAGTGCTGTATTTTATGGGTTGAATATAATTCCTAGTACTCACAAAATGTCTTGAACCAAACTTGTGGGAACTCGGGAACTCTAGATCAACAGCCTTGGAGCCTCCATGGGAAAGAACTAGTCCCTCGGAATGTGGGAGACAATTGTGTAGCTGGGAGTATCTGAGGGGCCCCTGACCTCAGTACCAGTATCTATCCCTGGGGCATGAGCTAGCTTGTTGGAGCCCATTCCCCTTGATGGGATGCCATGCTCAGTCTTAATGCAGGGGGCTTGGTCCTGTCACAACTTAATGTGCCAGGCTTTGCCAGACCCCCATGGGAGCCCTTACCCTGTGGGAGGAGTGGATGAGGGGTGAGATAGGAGGGAGGAGAAGGAGGGTAGGAGGAGGGGGGAGGAAGAACTGTGGTTGGAATGCAAACTGAAGTTAAAAAAGAAAAAGACTTAAAAATAAGTTCATACAACAAAGGCATGGATGGCGACTGATGATCATGATCCCTGCCATCTTGAAATTGTCCGTGATAACCTTAGCCATCATGAAATGCACATCAAATCCATATACATGAGTGAGAAAAGCAGTTTACAGCAAAAAAAATGACTGAAATACCTAATGTGGTTTTTCAATGAATTTGTAACTCAACAGAAATGCTGGAGTCGTAGGCAAGGGCATGAGACTTAGGCAAAACTGTTTGCTGATTACTTATAGAGGAGACCAGACAGTCCATGTAACACAGCTCTTCACCAAATAGTGCCCTGGAGATTCTTACAATTGAGAAAATTTTCTGGGACCCCAAGTACAAAAGTGTATTGGTGTGGGATATTAGATGAGCTGTGTAAAGATGTGTTGCATTTAGTATATCTGCGGAATATTACTTTAATGGTGTAAAGAGGGCTTACGTTTGCTTATGCTATATTTGTAATGATGTAAGGATGTGTGTTTAACTATGTAAAGATGTGTTGCATTTGTTTTACCTTGTCTGCCTGACTGGTCTAATGAAAAGCTGAATGACCAATAACCAGGCAATAGAGGGATAGATGGGGCGGACAGGCAGAGAGAATAAGTCGGAGGAGAAATCTAGGCTCTAGAGAAGAGAGACAAAGAAAGGAAAAGAGAATGGGGACAAAGAGGGACATGCCTGGGGCCAGAACCCAGGTGCCAACCAACCAGCCAGCCATAGAGACAGCAGGAAAGTAAGATATAAAAAAAAGAAAGAAGGTAATAAGTCCAAAGCAAGCTAGCTGGGCAGTGATGGCGCACACCTTTAATCCCAGCACTCGGGAGGCAGAGGCAGGCGGATCTCTGTGAGTTTGAGACCAGCCTGGTCTACAAGAGCTAGTTCCAGGACAGGCTCCAAAACCACAGGAAAACCATGTCTCCGAGAAAAAAAAAAAAGCCGGAAGCAAAACATAGATGAAGTAGATGAAGAAAATCAGGTTAAGTTATAAGAACTAGCAAGAAACAAACCTAAGCTAAGATTAACTATTCATAACTAATAACATGTCTGTGTGTCATGATTTAGGAACTGGTTAGTGACCAAAAGAAAACAGGTATACAAATCTAATATTTAATACAAACTAAACTAATCTATTTTAAAACGATTCCTTGACACACATATAATTTTCCCATTTTAAAGACAAAAGGAACTTTGGATACTAATGAAATGGATATCACTGTTCATTCTCATATCCAGAAATAAGTTTTGGCTGACTATTTGATGCAGAGTACTTTCAAATTTTTTCACAATAATAAATGTGTTAATGTTTAAAGGTCAGTGACGAAAAGCTCTTTACATAAGTACCACGGTGGAAAGCGACAGAAGTGGGATGGTTAGATGGCTTAGGTGGTAAAGACACTTGTTGCTAAGACTGGATCCCTGAGGTCATTCACTGGGATCCACACAGTAAATCTCCTGCAAATTGTCCTCTGACTTTCACATGTACACAATGGCTTACATATATGCATGAGGAAACACAGAAATGCAATAAATAATTATATAATTTTTAAGGAAAGAGCTTGTATTTCTTTAAATTGCAGAATGAATGTTTAGAGTCATTTTAGAAATTATTGGAAATTTACCCGAATTCCAGATGAAATGCAACTTGTGTGTGTGTGTGTGTGTGTGTGTGTGTGTGTGTGTGTGTGTGTGTGTGAACTCAACTAAGCCATTCAAAGAGCAAGTGAAAAATGAAAAACATTACAAACCAAGATCTGTTAAGCTGATATTCAAATGTCAATGAATGATGGTAGGGGAATATTAAAATCTTTAGTTTTGATTTCTATGATTTTCTATGATTAAACCATTTTTCCCTACACTTCCAGTTCTTTGGAGGATGTAAATCATGCCCAGAATCTGCTCTTGAAGCATTATAGAAGAAACCATTATGATGGAGATGTTATAACCCTGGGAGACATGTAAATAGGAAGTTACTTGAGGAGGGAAACGGAAGCACTGTTGGACCTACTATCAAGCAGGCCAAGGCAGCTGAGAGGATTTGCATCTTACTTTATAAGCAAGTTTAACAGGTAAAAGATAAATCATTTCAACTTTAAAAAGCAGACAACTGATTATCTATACTGTAATGTAAGACTATTAATAAATCAACAACTCAAAAGCAATTGGAAATTTATAAATTGCAAAATTATAACACAGTACTTGCATGTATTATTGAGAGAATATTTTTTCCAAAATGAAGTGTATTGTAAAGGGGCAGTGTCCCACCCACTACACAGGCTTATCACATGCCTTTGTGTCCAACCATGTTTCACACACTGACTCACCAGAACAATGGTCAGCCAAACAGCTCTGTTCATAATAAATGCCCTATAAAACTATTCAAGGATTTTCTCTTACCTTGTGTTTTATCACAACATTTTCATGTTTAAATATACTACACTATACAATACTCAATATCACGTTTCAACACTGACAGGATTCAGTATGGTAAAACAGTATACATGTGTTGGCTTCTACCATTTGTTTGTGTAAGTACCCTGTGACATTTTCCAAGTTATACAATTCCATAATGATG